GCCAAGGACCACTTGTGGAGAGCTTCAGAAAGACCTGGAATTAGCAGGTACGATTGTTTCAAAGATATTATGTTCGTCCAGGAAGGATTTCAGCTGCACGTAAACAATTTTTTCCAAAACTTTTGACAGTAAGGGTAGCTTGGAGATGGGCCTATAATTCCCCAGTACAGTGGGATCAAGACCAGTTTTCTTTAACAGGGTGTGCACCACAGCATGTTTAAAATGAGCAGGAACTACACCAGATAACAAACTACTGTTAAAAAGGGCAAGAACTAAGTGCCTAAAACAAGGGAAAACTTCTTTTTAAAAAAGTGGTGGAAGGGCATCACATGGACAACCAGAGGGCTTAATCTGGGAATATTGTGAGCAGCAGTGCATGTACTTCATTTATAAGTAAAGGTAGGACATAACAACTACTTTGTTTTAATAAAATGTACTAAAGTGAGCTACAGTTGGTGTAAAGATGACTGATATGAAACATAACCAAATGGTGAATAAGTTGTTCTGTAGGTTCATATATTTGTAAATCTGATTCTGATGAACTGAGTGCCTCACGTCCATGAACCTCACCGTCTGCTACTGGATTATACTATTTTAGCATGTTTCTGTAAAATAAACAAACCAATTCAAATATTTTTTTGTTTGTATCCCAGTGAACATACTGAGATTTGTTCCTATAGGCTCTAGTTCTGTAACTGGATCTTGACATTTTTCTAACTTGTTCAAATTCAACAAGCTTTTATATTTCATTTTAAAGCAGGTTCAGGTCCTTCATTCTTGGACCACTTATTTCTGTCTTTGTTAAATAAATATTGCCATAACACTCTGTTTTATACTAGATATTGAAATACAGTTGTGTTTTATACATTTCAAATATTTTTTTCTATTTATAGTTCTGTTGACTATTATTACCAATTAATTTTAACATATTACTTCTCCTCTGTCTTTCTTTCTTAAATCTGTATGATACACTTGTTCATTATGTAAAATTAGATTCAGACTCTTAGTAATTAATAAATTGAAGAAATCTCCACCTGGGAGTAATGGTAATTTCTCATCAGGCACTTCTAGTTCTTAAAAGACCACACTTTCTTGTTTTAATATTTTATTGTTCTACCTTGAGCTTCAGAAGAACATTAAATCATTTTGACATTTTAAAAGTAGTGAAACGGTTGAAATTAAGTGCCCCCCTCTGCATTACCTCTGTTACAATAAATTATACTTGCCAAGAGTAGCTGTGGTCAAAGTGTAAGAACACTTTGGAATCTTTCGGTTCACTTAGATTTGGTCTCTTGGACACGTGTGACACAACGAGGATGTTTCATTAGAAAAACAAACTGCCTAGGGCCTTATAATGAATCACAAACATTAAAACAGACTGCACATCAGCATTATCTACAGACAAGAACAGACCATTGAAAGCTACAATAGAATCTGGTCACTTACTGTATGCTAGGTTCACACCAAACGCGTTTCGAGCATCAGGTTTACAGGCAAAGTCTGCAGTGGACTCGTATCTAGGGGCGTCGAGAAGCCCCGCGACGCATCTAGAGCGTTTAGCTTGGTGCGTTTTGTGTTTGATATATGTGGCGCGTCCAAAGCAGCCGACAGGTGGAGTTGGAAAATCTGAACTTTTGCTGCTCGACGTGGCGCTTCAACCAATCAGAAGAGACTCTGCTGTGTGATACAGCGGTTCATTTTCCGATGAGACGGTTTCCTGAATGATGTCCACTAACCTGAGACTGATGGACCGGAGCTTTTTAGTTGAAACCAAGTGCCTGTCGGTGGTGTCCTAGCTCTTCCTTTCTCTCACTTTGTTTGCCACTATGAGCAGAAAAAAAATCCCTGATCGGCCCGCAATGCATTATGGGATATGGTGGACCAAGACAGATCCATCGGACCCGTCCCTCAAACTGGGGCAAAAGAAGGATGTATTTGTCTGCTGCGATGGAGGATTTTTCGAATTTGGACAGCCTCCGGTGCGGCGCTGTGACGTAAGTGGATGACGAATTCGGCCTTTGGAGGACCCAGCCTCTGAATTGGACGGTTGCCCAAGGCTGCCCTTTGTCACCGATTCTGTTCATAACTTTTATGGACAGATTTTCTTGGCGCAGCCGAGGTGTTGAGGGGATCCGTTTTGGCGACCTCAGGATCACATCTCCAGTCCTTTTGGCCTCATCAGATCGTCATCTCCAGCTCTCACCGGAGCGGTTCACAGTCAAGTGGGAAGATGAGGATGAGGATCAGTGCTTCCAAATCCGAGACCATGGTCTTGAGCTGGAAAAGGGTAGGCTGCCTTCTCCGGGTCGGGGAGGAGGTTCTGCCCCAAGTGGAGGAGTTTATATCGGGGTCTTGTTCACGAATGAGGGAAGAATGGAGCGGGAGATCGACAGGCAGATTGATGCTGCGTCTGCAGTGATGCGGGCGCTGTACCGGTCTGTCGTGGTGAAGCGAGCTGAGCCAGAAGGCGAAGCTCTCAGTTTACCGGTCGATCTACGTTCCTACCCTCACCTATGGTCACAAGCTTAGGGTAGTGACTGATAGTAAGAGATCGCGAATACAAGCGGCCAAAAATGAGTTTCCTCCTCAGGGTGTCTGGGCTCTCCCTTAGAGTTAGGGTGAGAATCGTTACATTTGTGCCACCAGCTTGAGCGTGCAGTAACACTGATTTGAGAGTAGATATCAATATGAACAAACAGTAATTTGAACTGTGTGAGTTCACATCACACACACTCTCACGCAGCTTCCTCCCTGCTTGCTCAACTCTCTTCCTGCTTGTGCTCGACTCCCTCCCTCCTCTCAACTTCCCCTCTGCTCGTATGCTGTATGTCTGCATTAAGCTCATCCTCAGTTTAAATTAGTGTTTTTCTCAAAGTTGGGGTCAGGACCCACAGTGGGGTCCTGAAACATCAAGGTGGGGTCCTGAAAATATTTTCTGAATTAATTACACTAAAAAAAGAACAACTAAGCACATTTTTGTGCCTTTGTTGTTGCAAAATTAATAAGATAAGTGTACTTAACCCTTGGATGCATGGACGACCAATACCTACACTCTTCCATAAGTGGGGTCAAAAATTTCACCATAAACCGACCACGACCAGGTGCTCCTCGCAACGTTTCTGACAGAGGAGTGAAAAGAATTATCAGAAGAGTTGTCCAAGAGCCAAGGACCACTTGTGGAGAGCTTCAGAAAGACCTGGAATTAGCAG